TAGTGGTTATTATTGTTAAAAGTGGTGTGAAATGTAACTCACTGTTAATGCATTGATTGGCTATCAGTCTTGAAGTTCTAAAATCACAACCCTGCTATGAATAGGCTTTGACCATATGCCCAATTAAGACTTGAACCCAGCTAGCTGCAGACAAGCAAGCACACCTTCCACAAGGCTCACCCACCACCCCTTATGGTGCGTCCTTCGCAGGTATTAAACATATAAATGCACTATAAATGTCAGACTTGAATCAAGGTCATGTTCACATGTGACGATCATATGACTGCTGTGCAGGAGTGGGTGGTTCGGGACATGAGGTGACTGGCGGCAGGGTGACGTCTATGTGTGACGGGCATCAAGGAAGAATATAACACTACGATTGTATGGAATAAATTTCCCTCCAGCTGAGGTCAAGTCTTGACTTGATTACTTGCAATCATGTGAGCGTTACATAAGGGGTAGGTGGGTGTTTGGCTGAGGTTTTGTACGGTGGTTTATGATTTGTATTGACAGATTGCAACCAAGGGATATATCAATACAAAGAGTCCCACATCTAGGGCCTGCCACGCAATAGATTTTATGATATGATTAATCATACCCAATAGTTCTAAACTTCTTAGTTAAAAGTTCTGTTGAGGGTGTTTGTTTCGATTTTGTCACTTGTAAACATAATTGGTGTTATTTAGTTCAAGGCTTTTAGAAAAAGGTATAAATCTATCAAGTTTTGGAATACATTTATGAAGTTCTTCATTCCAAGTAATATTATACAAACTATGAGTGCATGTATAGCTTCATCCTTTGTACAGAAAAGCTATACAGTATAAAACAAATATTAAACAATTAATTCGTTTAAAGCACTGTAAACAACCAAACAAGACAACATTGCACATTCGTAATCAAAAATAGATTACAACTAACATGAAATTGATGATAGGAATATGACGCTTTAATCGTATGTAAATATGGACAGCTGATAGGGAAATATACATCGTATTGCATTCCAGTCCACCTATACTCCATGCACAGACCTCATGCAGGCATATGAGGTCAGTTGAGGTTGTTGACAGTGCGGAGAAGTTTGTAGATTCATTGGAGGCTGAAGGTCATGAGCGGTCAATATGCGTGGGAGAGAGGAGATGACCGCAGTCACCAAGGCCACAAATCAATTATACAAGCAAGTGGGTGTTGGCGTTTACACAGTAATGCATGCTAGTATCATAGTAACAATTTCATATGAAATGTGTGACGTAAAGCTTTAACTCACTCACTCACTCATATGAAATGTTTGAGGTGAGGAAAATTGACAATTATCCGTGACATGTACATGCTTACATATATGCATATAGACCAGGTAGAGATTATAGGGTCTAGGTTTCATGCATCTGTGGAAATGTTTGTTCACACAGTAACCTAGATCTGGTACAAAGCAGTGATGTCATGTACGATGAAATTTATTCAATTCATACAAGGATTCATGTTTGTTTTGTTTTCTTTTAAGAATATACTGAATGTACATCCATACAGACATTAGCTCTCTCTTTTTATTTAATAGTTGCCTTTTTAAACATTAATTTAAACTATTTTGAAGACTGTTCTTGTGACAGATATCAGAACCTATTTTGCGTGAAGGCAATGCAAGGTAGCACTTTATACGTTACATCTCGAATATTTTTGGTAACCTTGTTTCCAGGCCCCCTGACATGAAGTATTGCAAATGTGCAATAAAATAAAACTGATTTTTTCTTGTACAGCCGAACAGGTTAGCACATTTCAGGCATAACAAACAATCACTGAAGAACATTAATATGAGAAGGGAAGTAACTCTTTCAAATACAGTTTCCAAGCACCACAAGTGTGTAAGTGAGTTGTGACCTGACAATTAACCCTGTATGTATGAGGTCCACCCATACCATTATAGCGGGTATAGCTGGTAGCGGGTGGTCCGCGACAAGTAGTACGATGGATTTGTCCATGTCCTGTCTTGGATATGCCAAGTTCTAGTGGCAAATTCAACAGCACATTATAGTACGTGTTCATGTTTGTCCAAGGGAACGTAGTCAATTTCATCGTCGTGACTTGCATGTGCACAACATGCATACACCCTCTCTTCATGTGAAGCAAACCAAATATGTTTGGCCTATTCTGTGCACCGCCTACTTGTCTTAAACATGTTTTGTGAGTTGGTTCAACTTATCCTGGATTACAAGTTTTGTTTGTTTGTTTGTTTGTTGTTTATTGCAAGACTAAGCAATATTCCAGCTATGTGACGGCGGTCTGTAAATAATCGAGTCTGGACAAGACAATCCAGTAATTGACATCATGAGCATGACCAATTCTAACCCCCATCTTCACGGGTTTGTCTATGTGTAATTTCAGTAAAGTTAACTGTTAAGCTAAAATACATTAGACACTAGCAGGCACTGTCACACACTGGCAGGCACTAGCAGACCCCGTTAGTTGCCTCTTATGACAAGCATAGGTTGCTGGAGACCAATTCTAACCAGGAATCTTCACGGGTTGGATTACTGGTAGCTGTACTTGATAATAGTAAGGTCATGTTATGCATGTAAGTGTGGCTTTGTCACAAACATGGTCAGCAATTAGACATAGTTATGTTAATAATCGTGTCGATAACATTTCAAGCATGAAGTTGTGTGGGCGACTGTCCCACAGCCAGTGTAATTAATAGGACAGCTATTGATTTGTTTATGGGTAACCGGGGCCACTTAGAAGTAGGTCAGCTGGTGACAATGACACACGTTGACCCTTGCATGTAAAGTACAGAGGGTCGGGACAGTAGCTGTCCAACTGCATTGTGGGAACTATAAAGATGGATGGTGACAATTATGATGACGAATCTTTCCCCCAAAAGGATTCAACTAATGATGATGATGATGATGATGAGAATGGTTATGAGGCTGGTTATAATGATGATCATTTGGTCTAGCCAATCCCAGCTTGAAATATTTCTCGGAAATGGGTATACAGGAGGAAGTCAGTTCATTGCAAAAAACATCCTCCCCTGTGACATTTTTTCACAATGATTTTCTATGCTGATAACCTATCTTATGTGGTAGTTCTATTTCCTGGCAAAACTATGCCATTTCCAGTATTTCCTGAAGATTGGGGAAATGATTTATGGTCATACCTGCTTTATTGATAGGTTGGACTCAGTAAATCAGTTGTTACTTTCTTTGTAGTTTTAATGAGGCAACACAAGAGACTTTTCTGAAAAATTTGATGATGATGATGATGATGATGATGATGATGTACTATAATAGTGCCTCGAAGCAGCACCCTTTCTTTAATGAATTAAGTTTCATACTTCTGGCACACCAGTGACAAAGTTCGAACATATGCATTTCGCTTTCTCAGGAAATACTTTTACTATCTTGCCATCTCGACCAGCACCAACCTGCCTCAGTCCTGTTTATTTATCAATTAATCATGATTGCGATTCAGTGAGAAGCATAACATCATCTTAGCAGACTGAAGTAGAGGTAACACAAACATGAATAATTAATGCTGTGTCAGCCAATCACAAGCCACAACAACCAACTTCCTTGTTGTATAGAGTTGCTCCCACTGGTGTTCTCTGTGGTGAAATCCTAGAGAATTATTTATAGAGCAACTTTAAGAAGATTTAGAGGTCTTTGTGAGATCATTTGTCCTTACAATGCACCATTGAGAGTTATCTCTTAACGTTAATACAGACTGATGTCTTTCCTGCAGGGGTTGCACTAGCCTTGCTGCAGGGCTGTTCTGAATAAGTCTATGGGTGTATAGTACTTCTATCCATATACTAGGCATGTCTAGATAAGCAGACAAGGACGCCAGTCTCTTATAGGGACAACTTGTTCTTATTATTTCTGTAATATAGAAATTATGATTCAAACTAATAATTATTGCCTAAGAGACTAGGACTCCACAAGTCTTCATTTTCTTTCTTGAGAAATATTTTTCTTGTGTGCCATTATCCATCAGTATATATATTGAATTAAGGTGTTTTTTTAGAATAAACTTGTCAAAATTGTCACCCACATCAATATTTGTTGACCACCGATTTATTATCGCTGAAATTGATGTGTTTTTACTTGACCTTACTGAAATAGTCAAGACATATCAAGATTTCACGTACATTTCTTTTTGAATCAGGATTAATGATATTAAATGTTTATGAACTCAATTTGAAAATAGCTCGGATAAGTAATGTTTCTTCAAGATAACACATTCTACATTTTGGAGGGCTAGTTAAATTCAGATTTATTTGTATTGAAATGGGTTTTTTTAAGATTTTCGACTACAGAGTTGTCATATTCCAAGAAATTAATCCCATATCCTGTTGTAAGTATTGAGGATGTCTGTACTCGTGGACATGATGTAATCATAGGAGAGTCTCTTGTCAATGTAGTTCTGATACACCCAAGCTCTTTCCTGGAAAAGTGTCCTGACTTACAGCTAAAGCAATCAGTGATGTGACAGATGTTTAAAACTGTTTAAAAAGGTTTTGCCAATTATCCCAAAGTCACAACACTATAGTGTGGGTACTTACAAGAAAGCAGTTTTTCATGTAACACAAAAATATGTTTGGTTAAATCCTAACTGTGACATTTAGTCTTGCCAATCCCAGCTTCAAATATTCCTCGGAAATAGGCAGGACAGGAGGAAGTCAGTTACTGCAAAAACATCCTCCCCTGTGACATTATTTCACAATGATTTTATTAGGCTGATAACCTGTCTTTAACTTTATGAAATGATAATTATAATGATGATGATGATGATGACAATGGTGATGAGGATTGATGATGATGATGATGATGACTATGATTATGAGGATGATGAGGAATGAGGATGATGATTTTAAAACAAATTGTAACTAAAAAATGTCAGATCAGTAACCTATTAATAGATTAATCAAAACATTAACAAAACATTCATCCATTGATTTTATTTCTGTGTAAAGTAAAGAAAGTTTGCTTACAGTTCTATTTCTGTTTCAGGATTTTGAAAGATGGAACGTTGTTTGACAACCAAGTGGTATCTGAGAGCAGGATTACTCTGTTACCAAATATGGCAAGTGGAATGACGGTGAGTGTTTACATAATTGCGGTCAGCCATTTCATGAATGAACAGCCACTGTAAGTGGTTACACACATATTTTGCTTGCAAGGGATGATGGATGACGAGCACAAATCTGAAATTGTAAAACCAGGACTTTAGTCAGTTATAGTCGAATCAGGAACACTTACTGAATGTAACAGTAATTGCAATCCTCGATGAACAATCATGATTCACTTATGACATATCTGTTATTCCATGGCATTGTTAGAAAGAAAAAATAATTATGTTTAATAACGCTTCAGAGAATCGCTAGGTAATTCCAGAGTTGCATTTAATTATTATACAATGCTGAAGCGTGTGTTATTATACAATGCTGAAGCGTGTGTTATTATGCAATGCTGAAGCGTGTGTGTGGGTGTGCCTGACATGTGCATATTGGTGCACAGATGCAGGCGTAGCTCATGCATGGAACTGCAAATTGAGCTCTTTAGGGTCAAGTCATGACATGATTATTAAAATACTTTACCATGTTCAGGTTTGTGACCAGAATCAGCCTTGTTCATCAACATCGATATACTAAAACACATACCCATCTTGTTAAAGAAATTTTTACAGAACAAAGTTCATCAATAATAAATCATGAGGTATCAATATCTATCTTTAGTAACTGTGTATAGATTTGCTATAATGTTCATTGAATTGGTGACTCTTTGAATGAACTTAAAGTGCTTCTCAGTCATAGTATGATGCAGAAATCGACATGTAAATAGTTCTGTATGTATATTTCATGTGGGAAAATGCAAGTCTATGCATTTGGCACTGAGTCGGAACTGAGACAATGAAGTCATGGTAAACATGTAGATGTGTTTACTAGTTATCGTACATTTCCTGGTGGGTGGAACACCTGTTATCGATTGATGGACAGGTGGTGTCAGGAACTGATGTGAAATAAACACCTTTACATATACATCATCCAGCTGATACGTGTATACCACATTTTCAATGACAATTAAACATAAATAATTAGGGACATTCTTGCATAGAAACTGCTAAATGATATAATCATTCCAAATGAAATAAATGAAACTATAGATAAAAAGTATAAAATGATATTTAAATGTGTTTGCATTTAATGAACTATTTTTAGACTTTCTAATATTAATTTGTTTGATGTGAAAGTTAATTCAGACAAAAAATAAGATTTATTTCATTTTATCAAATAATCTGCTCAAATGAAATATAATCCTCTATTTGTGTTCTGTCTGTTATAATAATTATGAAAGTTATCTAGAAACGAGGTCAAAGTCCACATTCTTACAAAAATACGTTTCACTTGTAGGACAAGTCATTGATTATGTTCATTTCAACTTGTACATGGAATACACCCCACATAACCATTCAAGACAATAGTCTATGATCTGCACAAGTTTTCATTGTTGTATATTTCCCATACTGCATGCCCCTTCTGATCATACTGGATGTAAGAACAAAGCTGGCAAAAACAGATCGTTGAGGATTTCACAGCTGTGTGGCAATGACGTACGTTTCCCACTATCAATAACAGATAGACTAACACCCTGCTATTGTAAACAGCATCGAATGGCGTGTAAGGCAGAGTCATCAACTGCGGTCCTTATAAGGGAATATACAGGCCGGAATGTGACCCACATCTGTGTCACTTGTCACATGTGTAGCGACGCAACCTTGTAATTTGGGGTCAAATCTAAATAAAATAGGTGAATGCTGCATGTGGTAAGAACGTTTTGTAATGAAATTTGTAACCAGGTAAAGTACATATTATATGTACATCAGCTCGCCATAGGAGTAGGCTACTTGAGTTTACAGCTCTAGAGTATGTGGGGACTTAAATGGGCGTGGTTTCAATCATTTTATAAAAAGCAAACTTACAAGAGTGTATAGTGTTTGAGTTTAAGGTTGGCTCAGTAATACATGATGATGATGATGATGATGTTCATGATTGTTAGTGCGTTACTATCCCCCTTATGACTGATGGCAAATAACTGGTTTCATTAAAACCTACTTTTCACAATTTTGTTTATGAAAGCAGTATTTTTTTCTTAGTGGCTACTTTATAATTCCATGGCTTATAATACCAGGAAAAAAACTCTTGTTGTTTGTGCTGTGGTTGGGCATGTGATCGTATCCCTTGACACGTCCTTGTCAGGCTTAACAATAGTGATGACAAATACGCTGATACGTCCGGACATGCGACCAGTCAGCTCATTGGTGTTTGGAATGTAACACATAACAATAGAGATTATCACTTGCCAGTTTCCATCTACTTCATCCCACCACAACAGCAGGCTAAGGATGACAGTGAAACTGAGCATAATATGGAAATGAGCAAGAAATAACCAATTTACAACATAATTTAAACATGAAACAGGACTGTTTTTACCTATTAACCCTAAAAATACTTTGAGAAAGTAGTCATTTGTTCTGGAGGACATTAGTTATTTTAAAAGATATTAGGGCATAATATTTAATTTTTTTTGTAATAATGTTTGTTACAATAAATTAATTATTAGATTGTGAAGCTCACTGACAAACCTTTCTTTCACTCCTGTGTTTGCTTGAGGACATACACCAGTACATAGTATGACCATTCACCCGGTATCATCTGAATCCCAGACTGCCACCGTGGTCTAGTGGAAGACCGCGGAGCAGGAAGTCAGTTTGATTCCAGGGCTGGCGCTCGGCATTAAGGGGATAACACAAAGACTGATCAGTATACTCTGTCCATGTTAAACTGGGGCGTGGTATCTGAGTGGACCAACACTATAAAATCAGCATTTAGTACTAGAACAAGCAGCCACACACAGACACAGGTCGTTATATAAGTGCAATAATCTTACACCCCATTTCTCCTCACCTGGTGTGAATCACAGGACAACTTATGTACTGTCGGGAACAGTGTTTGAAAAACATGAAATATATTAAATATAATTCCTCCCACCTCACATTTATTAAGAATGAAAATATGAAAATCTTATAAATAATTTAAGTTATTTAACCCTTCTTTAAATCCTTTGTAAACATGTTAAACAGTCAGCCTCAAAACAATACACAGGGAAATCAAGTATGATACAGATATATCATCTTTCTGGGTCTATGGTTAGACGAACATTTAGTCCCAGAAATAGTTATCTTATTTAATGATTTATATCTACCGAATATAAAATAAAACCCAAGCTATGCTGTTTGGTTTCACATGTGGTGTTGCGTATTATCAGTTTCACGATGCTGTTGATTCAAGCAAGAGGCCATGATATGGATATCGTGCCACATTTCCATACCAGGAACATATTGGGAGAGGTTCCTAACACAATGTATTTACTATTAAGTAATATTGAATCCTGTCTTTCATGTTTTCAGTTTCAAAGGCCAGAAAATGGAGTAATGCAAGCGTTGGAAAATCTGACCGAGTCACAAGTAAGTGGAAAGAGTATTAGATTTTTCAACACTTGGATAAGGCTACAATTATAACTTGGTTCTAATGTTCAAGATGAAATCTACTAAGTCTACTAGATAAACAGTTAGGATCATAATATATTACTCAAAAGAATACAGCAATGGTTGAAAATTGATCTCAAATGAAGCAGTAGGAAACCAACAAAGTGTGCCTGATGAAGGCCAGGAGACTTGAGACTGTATATTTATGTATTCATTGAATTCCCCTATGGGAATAGATACAAAAGAAGATTTAAAGAAGTTAAAGAACAGATTTTTTCATCTGATTATAGTTAATCTGTCACCCCATGACAAATTAACTAATATAATAATATTATGAAGAAATTGTGTGTACTTTAACTTTTTTTTTAGTAGTATATATATATATATATACATCCTGTGTTAAAATATTCAAACAGCTTTCATACACATTTTAACTTCAAGATATTTGGTGATGCACTTTTATTCAAATATTCACATATGTAATAATTTTTTCGCTGCTGATACAACTATTTTTTGGTTTTAGGTGAATGATTTTCTGTCTGGCCGAGCACCACTCTTACTAGCAATGAGATTGGGCGACCACATGATGTTCGTTCAGCTTCAACTTTCAACAACACAGTGTGTCAGTCGGCGTTCACGTGGTCACACTACACCGATGATGTCCACACCACCAACATCTCAGTCCCATGCTGTCTTCCCTCCCTCAGCTGCCATCACCCCTGCTTCGCTGGCCGAAGCGAGCCGCAACCTGTCACAGAAACTGCGAGAGCTGACTCGACTTACAGGGCATGCAAAGGTATGAAGTCCAAAATGCAGAATTATTTTACTGAGTGAGTGTGGTTTTACACCGCTGAGCAACCTTGAAGAATTAGGTGGAATAGGTCTTCTGCAACCCATGCTTGCTGTAAATGTCGACTATGCTTGTCATAAGAGGCGACTAACGGGATCGGGTGGTCAGGCTCTCTGACTTGGTTGATGCATGTCATTGTATCCCAATTGCGTTGATCGTTGCTCATGATGTCAATGAGTCTGGTCCACACTTGATTATTAAAGACCACAGTCATACCCCTGGAATATTGCTGAGTGTGGTGTTAAACAACAAACAAACCAACTTGCTAACTCACTCGACATTACTGGTACTGAGTTACTGTTGAACATTTGGGCTACAGATGATAGACAGTCATATGTTGTATGACCAAAAAGTCATGATGACGTATGTTGGCCAATTTCCTCTCAAAGTTCTCTCATACCAACGAAAGATAAAGAGTCTGTATATTTTCTTTCATATGTTGACATAAAAGTTACATTATTGATATTATTGTAATTATCTTTCAGGTTGGAGAGTCTGCCCAAGTGACTGTCTCTTCCCGAGTTCCCACTCCCTCCACCCCTATCTCCACCCCCCATCCCCCCTGCTCAAGCCCAGGTGCTGTGATCGACAGCATGCACCATCTTGGACAGGGAGTGTACTCGGGAACGTTTTCAGGTGAGTTATCTCCCATGTTGCTCAGACTTTCATTAATGTTTGAAATTCGTTTCTGAATCACAATTAAAACTATTCTTTTTCCTCATGTCAGTTTTTGCTTTTTTATGAATCATAAGTTTAATTATGTTAAGTGTGAATATATTCATTAATATATTCATTTTTTAAGATCTCATTTTTGTTTTGATAATCACAGCTGATGGTATGTGATTTGTCTTTCAGGAACACTTGATCCAACTTTACAAGATGTTGAAGGTCGACCTAGGAAAGATATTGCAACTATTGTACATATACTGAATGATCTGTTAGGAGCTTCACCACATCTTCATACTTGCCGCCCGTTTTTAGTTCAACATCCTACCCCCAGGCGGCACTACCACAGAGAACCTACAGGTACGTCAAGCTCTCTTGACATCACTGAAAAATGACCCCATCTTGACGAACATCTGGGTCCCATTCAGTGACATATTTGAAATAATAACGCCTCTTGATAAACTTAAGACACTTTGTTTTAATTAACTTTTATCGCACACATAAATGATCACCAGCCATTAATGAAGGATAGCTGATCGTGGTTGCCAGATAATATATACTCAAAAGTAATTGTGATCAGTTTCTAATTTGTCTTTTTGTATATATATTTAGAAGCACATTACCCCAAACTCCTTTCTTATTCTTTGAAGATTTGGTCTACAGTGCAACCTAATCCTATGATTGCTAATATAAGGGTCCCCTTCATATTGTCAGACTAAAGTTTGTAATTGTTGGCTAAGATGAACATTTCTTTTGTGTTAGGTTTGTCCAGCTCTATGAGTCAAGGCAAGCCTGATGACTCTGCTCTTCGGGGGAAGGTCAGGCAGCTGCAGATGATGATGGAGGAGAAGCGTCTGCGTCGCAAGGCCAGACGGGAAATGAAGGCTCCCTACCAATGGACAAATAGCCGCTCACTTAGTGAGGACACGCCCACATACTGCCATCATGCAGCGGGCAACCCTAGAGACAATGTTCCGACCACTTCAGCTGGACATTCGGACACGAACAAGATGGAAATCCCGGATAACATGGAGTCTTCCTCGTACCGAAACCCAAACTTGGAGCAGGAGACTGTTGCAGTCTGAAAGCTCTGAGATGATTGGTCGGTTTAAAATTTGGTTGACCTTTACCCAAATTAAGGTCAAATGCTTAGCCGCATTGTTGGATGGCCCTTGAGCCTTTGTTTGGCTTGACCTTTAAGGTCATGAGCCATTATGGGAACGTATCGTAACTGGTAGAAAGAGACTCTCCATTGATTGGTTCAAATGTCTTGATGGATCTGACAGGAAGTTAGCTGCCAGGTGGCTTATGGGATGGCTATGGATGCGTGGCTGACAAAAAAGCTGAGAATCTGCTGCTGGATTCCGCATCTCGGTGTATGTCATGTGACAGGAACTGATGTCACAGGCCTGTTTGTCACTTAGTCTAGTGACAGCCCTCACGAAGAGGCTATACCCTGTATTACTGTGTAGGGTTAGATCAGTGTAGTTCATATGTTGACATACCTTTGTACATTGACTCGTTTTCTCATCACTTTCTGCATGGTATGGGAATTTCTTTTCTTCACTATTTCTTTGTTGTTCTCTGATGGTGCAACTCACCTGCTTTTACAGAGGGTATGTTACATAACAGCCATCTCTCTGATTGTATATGGTTGTACGTGTGTCGATTTGTTAATAACTCAAGCCTTCATGTCAGTCCGTATGGATGTGTACTTTTGGTCAATTCTTGTATATATAGATGTTTATTAGTGCTATTTATGACATGTTTAGCTGTATGTCATACACAAGAACCAGACTTTGAGTGATGTTTTCCACATGAAACTCATGAAGATCGGACAGAAAATCCCTTGCAAAACTGGCTCCAAACCAAGTCGAATCACATGAACTTGATAAGAAGTAAATATATAGGTCTAGAATACTAGTCAACCATAAATATTTATCATATGCCAAAGGAACATACATTGATTCCCATCACATTTGTATATCCCCTAAATGAATTTAATTTATCAGTGAAGTAAATAGATTTTAAAATTGGAAGGTGAAAGAGACGTTTAAGATGCTGCTGTTTGTCTACTGTTTTCAGTCGTTAAGACATAATTTGATTAATTCAGCATGATTTCAATATAACATCACATACTATTAAAGAGAAAAAAATGTATCATCAGTAATATTTAAGTAACTGATACATGTATTACTTATTACGATGAAGATGGAGCGAAGAATCAAATATGTCTTGGTGATGAAGCAGGAATATATTAAGTTGTGTGGAAGATATCACTCTGTTCAATATGTACTATTTTTTGTTAGTTATATCGCTATGTTGAAAAGCACCATGGCTTCCTCACACTAACAGATTTCAATATCTGTGTAACAATTATTGGTGTTTGTGCTGGCACAAATTTCAATTAGTCACTGTGACATGTAGACAAAAAATGTGTGTTTAATATTGTTAAATACAGCATTTCTTACTTTTACATTTTACACATTTTTATCTGATCTTCACCTATTAAATCATGTTGTAACTTTCATGTACTCCCTGTTGTTAAAGTTTGAATAATGAGTGAATGTGAACGGATGTCAGATAGCAAAAACTGAAAGTGATTCTAAATATGCGTGTTACTCCAGCAATCTATAGCTAGTTACCGGGTAATCATTTCTGAATGGTTTGGTTTCCATAATGACAAAAAGATACGCCAAAATCTGTTCTTGATATAGCATCTGAGTTGTTTATAATTTTAAAGGTATTTTTAGTAAAGCATTTTTTTATAAATCAAATTAAATTTTGTATTGAACTTTGGAATGTCATGTGCATATATGTTACAATTAGTAACTATCTTTCTTCTTGAATTAAATCCATGAATGACATATTATTTAAAATTAAACATTAATTCTTTTTGTTAATCACAATAATTGTATTATATGACACTTTGTCAATGTCTCAGGAAAACGCTAGCGTATATGAGCACATATACCGTATTCGACATAATTAGCGCCCAGGGCGCTCTCAAAATTAGAAATAGGGGCTCTTATTAGAATAAAATTTTGGTGAAAAAAAAAAAGAGTTGAAAGTGTAAATTTCGTGGTTTATGCTGACAGCCTGACATGATACAAAAGAAAAGTCTGTGTGTATTATACGCAACAGATATATTTTCCAGAATTCAATTGCCCATAATTAAGGGTGCATATCACACCCAAGTTCGTATTATACTCGAATAAACAAGTCTTGTGTACATTGATCAATTGGAAGGGGTGCTAATTGCGATTGTTCACGAGCAAATAATGCCGTGGGCACTTATTAGAGTGGGGCGCTTATTACGTCGAATACAGTACTTAGAAAGAGAAATTGTCAATATGATGGGGAGTAACAATTCAATTATGGGCTGTGAGTAACGTGTATGAAATATAAACAAGGAAGTGTTTTCCTATACAATATTCTTTTTCAATCTTGACAGGAATTGGTTTTCTGAATTTTATGAATGACTTTCTTCTGGATAGGAGAAATATATTGATTATAGTATCGCTTCAGTCACCTGTCTCCAAGTTTCCGTATTTGTTCTTGCAGTCCCATGATGCACTTCTACCCCGCGCCACATCACTTATGTGCCGCACACAGATGTTTAAGCACTGTGTGTTTTGCTGTCAGTGACCAAAAATAAATCCATTTAAAAAATGCTGTCAGTATTCAGAAATTTAGGTTGTAAATAAAGAATAAAATTTAAAAATATATACAATGTATATTTATATTTCATAGATATACTATGTATATCACAAATTCATAGCTGTTAATTAAACTTTGAAACTAATGTAATGTTCGAATAGGTTGAACACATTGCAGTGAATGAAATAAAGATTAAATATTAATAATCACTGTGTATATTGACTCTTGAGAACTCATGCACTGCAATATGTACAACTTGTTTTATATTAATCTTAAAGGATTTTACACTTGAACAAAAATCAAAATTTATTTTGGACTTATTCATTACTGCAAATAACTATGTCAGTCATATCACGTTATTTCCAATCCAGGTATATTAATTTATGATTATCTTTAAATAAAAAACAGCACCTGTGCATCCTCGTCTGCTCCTACCCTACTGACAGTTTGTTCGTTCCCACAATTTTAAATCAATGGGTGATATATGTTTTTTCTTTATTAAAAATGACATTACAATTTTCAATCAATATTTACCCGTCTTTACATCAGGAAAAGGACTTGAAGCAGGTGTGAATATGGGACTGGTCATTTATCACTGAATTGGGTGGGTCAAATTGTTTTATTGAATTAATGATTGTCATAGTTTTGGCTGACCCTCCTTTTCACTTTTTTCATGACCTTCCCAGAATGTGTGTATCATTTTTTATGACCCTACCCAAGAGACTGTCATTGTGGGGGGGGTCCCTCCCCTGCTTCCCTCGGACCCACTCCCTATTATACATGTCAGGTCCCTGAGGTTGATTGACTTAAAAGTGAGTGATGTTTCATATTTATTTGGTTTTATTTGTCAGCTGATCTGACATAATATTATGCGCATAAATATCTAAAATGAAATGATAATTCCATCATTTTGAATCATTTGTTGAATCATTCTGTTTTGTAACATTATGCAGACTGGTTTGCTACTCCGTGAAATTGCATGGTGATTCATTATGATTCAGATAAACATAATGAACATATATTTCTTATAATGGAATCATATCTGTTATAGCGATATCACAGTTGCAAAGTGTTGCAAAGCAAGATGACAGTTTCCTTGATTTCTTTTTGTTCAGCTGTTTTGTTTCAAATATGTTTAGTTGACACAACTGATGGAATTAAATTCATCATATTATTTCAAAAATTATAATGACGTGTATCACTAATATTTTTTTTAATTTTGATTTTGTGCAAAATCTTTTACTGCAGCCAGTTAGATCCTTCGAGGTTGTATGCAAAAGAAGGACTAAGTTTTACTTCATTCAGTTATTTCCCAAACATATGAATAGTTAAGAAAATTCCAGTGTGGTGAGATCAAAGGGTTAGACATTATGGTTGACATTATCTGTGGCTTGGCAAACGTGTAGAATCTACACATGTTATTTCACAGGTAAAGCTGTACACCTGAGTTGTCTCCCTTTCTGTAAACTGATTAAGTTCTGATTTAATCTTTTCAAATGATTATGTGACACAATAAGCTATGATACAAGAATTGTATTTGGAATATATTAGTTGGAAAATATTAACAGTTATTTATTGCATTTAATATATAAATGTACTCATAAGAAGTAAAACCTGCGGTCAAACATTAACATGTTTTAATGGATTTTCAAGTTGTGGGTTTTCTATAGACAATGTGTATAATAACTTTATTTGTCTATTCTTAGTGTCTGATAACTCATCACTATGCTGAGAAAACTATTTTTGTTGGAAGGTATATGTGTGTGGTTTGAATAAGGTTGGCAAATGACTTGTTAATGTGATTCCCCAGTAGGAACCTTTTATATTATATTAATTTACCTAGCAATAAATATCACTCAAGCTGTATCAGAGGAGTTGTCTTCTCTTTGGATTTGATTGTAGTGAGTGAGTGAGTGGATTGGGTTTAACTCCACTTTGAACAGTGTTCCAGTTATATCATAGCATGTCAGCTTGATATGGGGGGAAAGCCTGAAGTAAAGCCAGTCTCTGACTTTTACCACTTTGGTGAAACCCACAAGCATTGGTATGGTGCTGACAAATCTAGAAAAATAATTTGAGCGAACCAGGGTTTGAACCAGAGGTTTCTGGCGTGCCTAAGGGATGCAACTCTGCTCAGAGAATTGAGGCACCTTCAACAACTGGGCCACTCATGCCCTCATTGATTGCAGTGAGGTAGTCCAGCTGTTAGTGTGCTTGACTGTCACACCTAAGACCGGGGTTTGAGTCTATTACTTGTATGGCTGCAAAAGCTGAAAATTGGGAGATGGATTTATTATTGAGATGTGATACCATAGGGGAATAAAGAAACAATACCATGACCAACAGTAGAATAACACAGAAACAATACCATGACCAACAGTGGAATAACACATACATAATACCATGAACAACTGTGGAATAACACATAAACAATACCATGACTAACAGTGAATAACACAGAAACAATACCATGACCCACAGTGGAATAACACAGAAACAATACCATGACCCACAGTGGAATAACACAGAAACAATACCATGACCCACAGTGGAATAACAAAGAAACAATACCATTACCAACAGTGAACAACACAGAACAATACCATGACCAACAGTGGAATAACACAGAAACAATACCATGACCCACAGTGGAATAACACAGAAACAATACCATGGCCAACAGTGAATAGCACAGAAACAATACCATGACCCACAGTGGAATAACACAGAAATAATACCATGGCCAACAGTGAATAGCACAGAAACAATACCATGACCAGCAGTGAATAACACATAAACAATACCATGACCAACTGTGGAGTAACATTTACATAATACCATGACCAACTGTGGAGTAACACATAAACAATACCGTGCCTAACTGTGGAGTAACACATAAACAATACCATGACCAATTGTGGAGTAATACATAAACAATACAATGACCAGCAGTGAATATCAAAGAAACAATAACCAAGTGTGGAATAACACAGAAACAATACCATGACCAGCAGTGAATAACACATAAACAATACCATGGCCAACAGTGAATATCACAGAAACAATACCGTGACCAACTGTGGAATAAAACATAAACAATACCATGGCTTACTGCAGAGTAACACATGAACAATACCATGACTAACTGTGGAGTAACACAATAATAATACCATGACCAGCTGTGGAATAACAACACATAAACAATACCATGACCAACAGTGAATATCACATAAACAATACAATGACCAACAGTGAAAATCACAGAAACAATACCATGACCAACTGTGGAATAACACATAAACAATACCATGACTAACAGTGAATATCACACAAACAATACCACGACCAAGTGTGGAATAACACAGAAACAATACCATGACCAACAGTGAATAACACATAAACAATACCATGACCAACAGTGAAAATCACAGAAACAATACCATGACCAACTGTGGAATAACACATAAACAATACCATGACTAACAGTGAATATCACACAAACAATACCACGACCAAGTGTGGAATAACACAGAAACAATACCATGACCAGCAGTGAATAACACATAAACAATACCATGACCAACTGTGGAATAACACATAAACAATACCATGACTAACAGTGAATATCACATAAACAATACAATGACCAACTGTGGAGTAACACATAAACAATACCATGCCCAACTGTGGAATAACACATAAACAATACCATGACCAACTGTGGAGTAACACAGAAACAATACCATGACCAATTGTGGAGAAATACATAAACATTACAATGACCAGCAGTGAATATCACAGAAACAATACCATGACCAAGTGTGGAATAACACAGAAACAATACCATGATCAGCAGTGAATAACACATAAACAATACCATGACGCACAGTGGAATAACACAGGAACAATACCATGGCCAACAGTGAATAGCACAGAAACAATACCATGACCAACTGTGGAATAACACAGAAACAATACCATGGTGAACTGTGGAGTAACACATAAACAATACCATGGCCAACAGTGAATAGCACAGAAACAATACCATGACCAACTGTGGAATAACACATAAACAATACCATGGTCAACTGTGGAGTAACACATAAACAATACCATGACCAACAGTGAATATCACATAAACAATACCATGACCAACTGTGGAATGACACATAAACAATACCATGGCCAACTGTGGAGTAACACATAAACAATACCATGACCAAAAGTGAATATCACATAAACAATACCATGACCAGCAGTGAATAACACATAAACAATACCATGACCAACAGTGAATATCGCAGAAACAATACCATGACCAACTGTGGAATAACACATAAACAATACCATGCCCAACTGTGGAGCAACACATAAACAATACCATGGCCAACTGTGGAGTAACACATAAACAATACCATGGCCAACTGTGGAGTAACACATAAATAATACCATGGCCAACAGTGGAATAACACAGAAACAATACCATGACCAACTGTGGAATAACACATAAACAATACCATGCCCAACTGTGGAGCAACACATAAACAATACCATGGCCAACTGTGGAGTAACACATAAACAATACCATGGCCAACTGTGGAGTAACACATAAACAATACCATGGCCAACAGTGGAATAACACAGAAACAATACCATGACCAACTGTGGAATAACACATAAATAATACCATGCCCAACTGTGGAGCAACACATAAACAATACCATGGCCAACTGTGGAGTAACACATAAACAATACCATGGCCAACTGTGGAGTAACACATAAACAATACCATGGCCAACAGTGGAATAACACAGAAACAATACCATGGCAAACAGTGAATATCACAGAAACAATACCGTGACCAACTGTGGAATAAAACATAAACAATATCATGGCTTACTGCAGAGTAACACATAAACAATACCATGACTAACTGTGGAGTAACACATACATAATACCATGACCAGCTGTGGAATAACAACACATAAACAATACCATGACCAACAGTGAATATCACATTAACAATACAATGACCAACAGTGAAAATCACAGAAACAATGCCATGACCAACTGTGGAATAACACATAAACAATGCCATGACTAACAGTGAAAATCACACAAACAATACCACGACCAAGTGTGGAATAACACATAAACAATACCATGACCAGCAGTGAATAACACATAAACAATACCATGACCAACAGTGAAAATCACAGAAACAATACCATGACCAACTGTGGAATAACACATAAACAATACCATGACTAACAGTGAATATCGCATAAACAATACAATGACCAACTGTGGAGTAACACATAAACAATACCATGCCCAACTGTGGAATAACACATAAACAATACCATGACCAACTGTGGAGTAACACAGAATCAATACCATGACCAATTGTGGAGAAATACATAAACATTACAATGACCAGCAGTGAATATCACAGAAACAATACCATGACCAAGTGTGGAATAACACAGGAACAATACCATGGCCAACAGTGAATAGCACAGAAACAATACCATGACCAACTGTGGAATAACACATAAACAATACCATGGTCAACTGTGGAGTAACACATAAACAATACCATGACCAACAGTGAATATCACATAAACAATACCATGACCAACTGTGGAATGACACATAAACAATACCATGGCCAACTGTGGAGTAACACATAAACAATACCATGACTAACAGTGAATATCGCAGAAACAATACCATGACCAACTGTGGAATAACAGATAAACAATACCATGCCCAACTGTGGAGTAACACATAAACAATACCATGGCCAACTGTGGAGTAACACATAAACAATACCATGGCCAACTGTGGAGTAACACATAAACAATACCATGGCCAACAGTGGAATAACACAGAAACAATACCATGACCAACTGTGGAATAACACATAAACAATACCATGACCAACTGTGGAGCAACACATAAACAATACCATGGCCAACTGTGGAGTAACACATAAACAATACCATGACCAACTGTGGAATAACACAGAAACAATACCATGACCAACAGTGAAAATCACAAAAAAAATACAATGACCAACTGTGGAATAACACATAAACAATACCATGACTAACAGTGAATATCACATAAACAATACAATGACCAACTGTGGAGTAACACATAAACAATACCATGCCCAACTGTGGAATAACACATAAACAATACCATGACCAACTGTGGAGTAACACAGAAACAATACCATGACCAATTGTGGAGAAATACATAAACAATACAATGACCAGCAGTGAATATCACAGAAACAATACGATGACCAAGTGTGGAATAACACAGAAACAAAACCATGACCAGCAGTGAATAACACATAAACAATACCATGACCAACTGTGGAATAACACATAAACAATACCATGGTCAACTGTGGAGTAACACATAAACAATACCATGACCAACAGTGAATATCACATAAACAATACCATGACCAACTGTGGAATAACACATAAACAATACCATGGCCAACTGTGAAGTAACACATAAACAATACCATGACCAAAAGTGAATATCACATAAACAATACCATGACCAACTGTGGAATAACACATAAACAATACCATGGTCAACTGTGGAGTAACACATAAACAATACCATGACCAACAGTGAATATCACATAAACAATACCATGACCAACTGTGGAATAACACAGAAACAATACAATGACCAACTGTGGAGTAACACATAAACAATACCATGGCCAACAGTGAATATCACAGAAACAATACCATGGCCAACAGTGAATATCACAGAAACAATACCATGGCCAACAGTAGAATAACACATAAAAAATACAATGACCAACTGTGGAGTAA